GATCATTTGAAAAACTCTTTCTGTAACCTATTTTATATTAGTTGTGGTTAGAAGAATCCTGATATCTGAATAATTCACAAAAAGAGATAGTTCTTGACTTACAACCACAATTGAGCCCATAACTTGTGTTGCTGAATGAGACATTTATTCCAACAATTGTTAAGTGAATCACTGCAGTTATTAAGTTAGTAACATAGTTGTTAAGTGAATCTGACTTTCCCATTGATTTTGCTTGTCAACATTGCAACAGTTATAAATATGAATCAATTGCCAAGCATCGGAATTTTGATCATATGAGCCATGGGGATACTGCAGCAGTCGTAAATGTGAAAACCTCTCATAATGGTCACTAAATGAACTGCCGTAAGTCGAGGATAATTGTACATTAAATGAGTGATTTCATCATTAAAGGAAAATAAAGCATTGCAAGAAAGAAATTATAGGTTCTAATAAACTCTTTAATCCACATGTAACAGGATACATGTTTTTCACAGTGCTGATTTTTTTTCCCTTCATTTTTTTTGGAGGGGAGGGAGAAATAAACTGCCTTGTTTTATTTTGAGAGTTATTTTGGAGGTTTTTGTATTCTTAGGAGCATCCTAAAAATACTTCATGTAATTTATGAAGCAGACTTGGAAGTTGCTTCTCCAAAGTCTATAAAGTGGTTGTGCTAATGATCAATTGGCTTTGGCAGATTGCTTTGAGGCAAATTAAAGATTCAGAGTAACTACAAGTTAAACCATTCTGTTAAAATTCTCTCCCTCTCCCCTCTGTCTCCCTCTCTCCCTCCCTCCCCCCTCTCTCCTCTCCCTCTCTTCTCTTCCCCTCTCTCCCTCTCCTCTCTATCTCTCTCCTCTCTCAGCTCTCCCTCCTCTCTCCCTCTCTCTTTCCCTCTCTTTCTCTCCTCTCTCTCCTCTCCTCTCTTTCTCTCTTCCTCTCTCCCTCCCTCATCTTCCCCCTCTCTTTCCCTCTCTTTCTCTTCTCTCTCTCTCCTCTCTTTCTCTCTCCCTCTCTCCCTCCCTCTCTTCCTCTCTGTCTCTCCTCTCTATCTCTCTCCTCTCAGCTCTACCTCCCTTCCTCCTCTCCCTTTCTCTTTCCATCTTTCTCTTCTCTCTCTCTCTCCCCTCTTTCTCTCTCCCCTCCCCCTCTCCTCTCCCTCTCTTTCCCTCTCTCTATCTCTCCCACCCTCTCTTTGCTCTCCCTCTTCTCCCCCTCTCTCTCTTTTCCTCTCTCTTCTCTCTCTCCTCTCTCTCTTCCTCTCTCTGCTCTCATTCCCTCTCTCCCCCCTTTCTGTCTCATGGAGAGAGAAAGAGAGGGAGAGAGAGAAAGAATTTTCAGTTCTTACAGATGCATGGTTTTTTTTTGGGGGGGGGGCTGTTGTTTATTGTTTGTTTATTGGATTTATATGCCGCCCTTCTCCCAAGAACTCAGAGCGGTGTACAACATTAAAAAAAACAACCATATTACAAAAGTTAAAAAAAAAAATTAGATAGTTGCCTGTGTGGTGTGTGTATGTTTCCTGTGTACAATCTAATTCACTTTTGGTGAATGTGGGTGAAATGTCAGGAGGAAAGGAAATAAGCAACAGCTTAAGGTTACTGATATCTCAGAATGACTCTTTGTGGCGAGCTATGTGGTTGAATGGCCACATAGATAGTCTGTTTCAAGCTGAAAATGGTACTAAAAATTATTAAAGGCAACATAGGATTCTCTACAATATTTTACCTTCTGATAATAATTTCTCTTGCGAAGAAGAGGCTTTTGAGGTGCACACAAAGATAGAGACAGGTGGTTAATTATAGCTTTAAAACTGCCCAGCCGCCAGTACTCTAACATACCAAGGGACTCTCCTGGCTGTGTAGCACCTAGATGGTAAGGACTGAGCATTTATAGGGTAGAAATGGGGGTCAAGAGTTTGTGTGTGCTTAACCTCTACCTCTAATTTGCAGAATTCTGGTGACCTTCTCCCCCCTTTAGCTGGGAGGAAAACAAGCTCAGTTAGGCACTTGCAATTTGTAGGGTAAACTTGCAACAGAAAGGTAAATCCTCATTCCCATCTTAGGATATTAGGGAGTTTAAGGATTGGTAGGCACCTATGTTTGTGTGTGTGTGTGTGTGTATGTGTTTGTGTGTGTGTTACACGCAAACAGATACACACAACAAAACCTTTCTGCCACATACAACCTTCCTGGCTCATTTCTCAGTAAATCAATAGCTCCCACTCAAGAATTTCGATGGTAAAGTATCATTAAAAAATACCACAATGATTAGAAGTGATTTCTGCATCGTTTATATATTAGAGAGAAACTTTGTGAATATCAGGATTATACGCTGCAAATTTTCCTGGATTGTGTTGCTAAATAAATGGGAACTTCATCTTTGAATGCTTCTTGTCTCATATATTTAAAAAATCTTTTCTCTTGAGGACAAAAATTAGAGTCCTTTCTCATTCCCCCCACCATATAACCACCTTGTGAAGTATGGCAGGTTAAAACTGAGTGATCCAGCACATCAGCCAGATGAGATCCATGATCAAATTTGGCTGAGTGTTGAATAGGAATGGTGATAGGAGCACAAATGCATGTTTGAAATTCAGAGATGTGGCTTTTGCTTGTGGTGTTTGGCCCTCTGATTCTGAAGTAGCATTTCATAATGTCTGAGCATCCATTTTTATGCAGTGAAAGAGATTAGATTATATACAGGTATTCCTCGACTTACAACCATTTGTTTAGCGATTGTTCAAAGTTACAATGGGACTGACAAAAGAGAGCTTAATTGTCTCACACTGTGATAGCCATCACAGCATCCCTATAGTCATGTAATCAAACTTTGGATGCTTGGCGACTGGCATATATTTACAATAGTTGCCGCATTCCATGTGATGGCCATTTGTAACCTTCCCAAGCAAAGACAACAGATTCAATTGGCAGCTACACGATTCACTTAATAACCATGGTAAAGAAAAGTCCATAAAATTGGGCGTGACTCACTTAACTTCCACCTTGCATAGCAATGGAAATTCTGGTCCCAATTATGGTGATAAGTCAAGGACTACCTGTACTTAACCAGAGTTAAGTGGCTATCAGTCCTATCTCATTTTAATCAACTCCATTGATCTACACTCAGTTCATGTTACGGTTAGCTTGATTTTCTTTAATTGGCCTTATCTTATCCACTGCTTAGTGCAGTGGTGGGTTTCAAAAAATTTTAGAACCTCTTCTGTAGATGTGGCTTGCTTTTGTGGGAGTGGCTTGCCAACCATGTGACCGGGTGGGAGTGGTTTGGCAGCCATGTGACTGGGTGGGCATGGCCAACTTGTAAAATGTGGTGAAACTCACCTAACAACGCTCTTGCTTAGCAACCAACATGTTGGCTCAGGAACTCTGGCATTGAAGTGTGCAAGTCTTAAAGCTGTCAAGTTACAAGACCCTTGCAGCCCTAACCCTTTAGAAAAAAACCAGCCAGGTGTGTTCAAACTTGACAGCTTTAAGACTTGTGGACTTCAAGTCCCAGAATTCCTCCTCTCACTCTTCATCTTGATGATGTGCGGACAGGGGGGGGGAGCTGGAACTGGTTCAAAATGGAACTGTAGATTTGTGGAACCTCTTCTATAGAAGACTTTAGAACTGGCAGGAACCCATCCCTGGCTTAGTGGTACAAACGTAGCAAAGGATTGACAACTGACATTCAGACTCTGAATTAGGTTCAATAGATTTGGGTGAACTGTTCAGTTTTAGTTGGAAATGATGGGGTTTCAATCATATATAGGTAGTCCTCAACTTACAACTTTCATTTAGTGATTATTCAAAGTTGCAATGGCACTTACAACTATTTTACACATTACCCTTTTGTGACCTTTTGCCAAGCAAAATCAATGTGAAAGCCAGATTCACTTAACAACTGTGACAAGAAAGGTTGTAAAGTGGGGAAAATTCACATAACAACTGTTTTGTTTAGAAACAGAAATGTTGGGCTCAATTGTGGTCTTAAGTTGAGGACTATCTGTATATCTACAGGGTTGGGATTCAGAAGGACTGACCTTCAGGGAACAGAAATTGGGAAATGTGAAGTTTGGGAGGAAGGATTACTTTATTTCATATGTTCAGTGGATTCTCTTTTCACCTTCCCAAGCCTGAGATGATCTGTTTAGCAAGGGATGAGAATGATATAAAACAGGGGTGGGGAACAATGCCCCTTTTATGACTTGTGGACTTCAACTCCCAGAATTCCTGGCCACTTTGGCTCAGGAATTCTGGGAGTTTAAGTCCACCAGTCATTGGTGGCCATGATTACCCACCTCTGATATAAAGAAACTGGACACCATCAAGGGATGCCTTGGGAGAAAAAGGCTAGAATATCTCAAACACCATTCTGGTTGCCAAGCCAAATTCTTCCCACTTGAGTTCTGAGTAGAGGTGGGTTCCTACTAGTTCGCACCTATTCGGTAGAACCGGTTCGTCAAATCTACTGAACCAGTTAGAAGAGGTTCCATCAGTGGACCCGGAAAGCAGGCCACACCTAAGGAAGAGGTTCCAAACTTTTTTGAAACCCACCACTGGTCCTTGGATATGATTATTCTACACTATCATGCTCATATTTATAAAACTCAGTGCCTCTGTGAAAGGTAAGGATGACTACTGCATTTGTGGTGCAATCAGAACATTGCGTGTGTTGAAGTTGTTTTAACGCAAACCAAAGATGCCTTTTAAAAAAGAAGTTTACATCATATTCTTATGCATGCCAGTGCTGTGTGTGAGGTAATTTAAGGTGGTTCTGACAAGTGTCATCGGCATCTTCATATCCGGTCACATGGGCGGCAAGCCACTCCCATCCGGTCACTTGGGTGGCAAGCCACTCCCACAAAGGAGGCCACACCTACAGAGTAGGTTCGAACAATTTTTGAAACCCACCACTGGTTCTGAGGTAACAGTTGGCCTTGTGTCCTCTTCGATCTTTTTCTTCTCATTCTCTAGTCTCTTTCTTCTTCCAACCTACTACAGGGGGAACATAGAGGTCCTGCGAGATGAGCCTGCCCCTGGGCACCCCCGCTGCTAGGATGCTCTTTGTTATGGCTCTGGCCTGCGCCAGCCCTTTTCTGGACTTACGGCGACGAACCATCAACATTCCCATTATTTTCAGTGGCTCAACCTACACACCAGAAAGTGCCCGGTTCTCACCTGAGGATTTTCGCAATTTCTCCATGGAGATCAACCCCATCCCTGTCGTTCTGAATGACACCAATCCTCGTAGCCTAATTGTACGGCTCTGTGATGTCCTCTCCTCCTTGCATATCCATGGAGTCGTTTTTGAGGATGATACGAGAACAGAGGATGTCGCCCAGATCCTGGACTTCATCTCAGCACAGACCTCAGTTCCAATCATTGGCATCAATGGAGGATCAGCCATTGTTCTTACTCCCAAGGTAACATAACTTCCTGGGCTTATTCTGCTACCTGAATATACACGGAAGCTCGGTCACTTAACAGAGATCTGCTTAATCAATATGCAAACAATTCGGAAAAAGGGCCCTTAAGAGATAATTTAACTGTTAGCTGTACAGAAATGTGTATACAAGGGAGAGGGGATATGAGATTAGAAATAATAGCAGAACTGAAAAAATCAATATTAACCAAGGTATAATAGAATTATACTACATATTCATTTTCAGTTACAGGTAGGAGTTAGCAGATCTAACAGGATGGTCTAATTCTGTTCATAAAGACTTTGGGAATTATTTTTGTAAAAGACAAGTTGCTGGGGAGAGCTGGGTTGAAAGCAGAACTTAAAACTGAAACCTTTATCCCCTCAATCGAAAACATTTGGAAAGTTGTATGCTTTATTTGAATCTGGGTGGAAAATGAGTGGAAAGCTCATTTTAAGATTTTAAGCTGCCCAGAGTTACCCTGTGATAAGGTGGGCAGCCAATACAAATTTATAAATAAGTAAATAAATAAATGTATAAAACTGTTCCTGCTTTTCAGCCTGATCACTTTTGTCCTTTCTAAAATCCAGGAGAAAGGCTCAACATTCCTGCAGCTTGGTTCCTCAACCAAACAACAGTTGCAAGTGATGTTTGAGGTCCTGGAACAATATGACTGGACAGCATTTGCCGTCATTACTACCCTGTTTCCTGGCTATGAAGATTTTGTAGATTACATTGAGGTCCTGACCGATAGCAGCTTCATTGGTTGGGAGCGCCGCAGCACTGTGACCCTTAACCTCACTGATGACCCAGATGGAGCCCGCCTGAAGCGCCAGCTCCGAGAAATAAATGCCCGTATTTGCCTTCTCTACTGTTCCCGTGAAGAAGCAGAAAGCATCTTTCGTGCCGCTCGTGAAGTCAAACTTACTGGTCCTGGGTATATTTGGTTCATGGCAGGCGCCAACTTTGGTAGAACTGCCTACCTGCCTGAGGAACTGCCCGAGGGTCTCTTCATGGTGCTTTCAGCAGGATGGAAAGATGACCTTTACCACAGAGTACAAAACGGTGTGGCCATCATTGCCAAAGGCGCCGAGGCCCTCTTCCAAGTCTATGGCTCAATTCCAAAATTCAACAGTGACTGCCGGGCACCCAATCTCACCCAATTCAACGAGAATCTACATCGGTTAGCAGGGAAAGAGGCTGGGAGGGGGGGTTCTTGGTGGGAGGGTGGTGCAACCAAGAGGAATCTACTGTTCCCTTCCATGAACAACTCTGACCTGTCCCCACCCTGTGCCTTTTTCTCCGCTTCCATTCTTTTCTTGATTTGCACCCCATTCCACCCATTTAATTCCACAATCTGATGCCTCCCAGATGTGTTGGATACAGTTTTCGCTTTCCCAGCTGGCATAAAATTGTGTTGTATCCAAGACAATTGGAAAAGGATCATCTCAAGCAATAAAAAGTCTTGCATCATGCATACATTTACATAGGGCATAAACTTAAATGGACCACAGTTGTATCTAATCACCTGGAGTCTTAACTCTGTTCCTCTGTTATGTCTTTGAGCATAATCATGCTTCACTTCCTCCTTGGCACTATAACCCTGCTTCCATTATGGTATTCAAAACTGTATTTTTACTTTCAGAACCAGCACTCTGGTGTTCCTCCTTCTTGTAGTCCCCAGAATAAGGGATGTCAAAGTGGCTTTGGTTGCTTGATTACAAGCATTGCTTGATTACTGCCATTCTGATTTAAGCTAAGATACAGGATAAGGTCAGGACCACCTTCCTTCTTCTCTGGTCTGATTTGCTCCTCTGGACCCTTCTTTAATTCACATTATTTTTACTTTAAGATATTCAAATACAGAAGAAATGCACCACTGGAGAAAAGATAGGAAGAAGCTTGAACAGTACATGTTTTTCTCGTTGGCCAATAATAAGGGAATAGAAAGTGGAAAATAGATGCAAAACCTGAACAAGAAGATGATTTATGTGGTCTATAATGCGTGTCACATTTACAAATCAAGACAAAACCATTTGACCAATAGGTGGAACGGATGGAAGGAAGGTGTAAGAGGGATTAGCAATGGCACAGAAAGTTGGATGCTAATATTCTTTCATATTGTTTCTAAAGTGGGTAGAGAACATCCTACTTTATTAGTGGGAAAAGTTGCTAATATTTAGCTGAAGGGGGGCAAAAATTAGTTTTTCTGCAGAGGTCAGGGAATAGGTCTGTTTCTTTTCACTCTCTAATTTTACCTATTCCACTTCGTATTTGCAAACCAAATTCCTCCCACATGTCATCCATCTCTACCCAAAATTGGCTCCCCCCTCCTTCTTGGTTTCTTTTAAAAGCCTAGTCCACATCTTCCCAAATATTCTTTCTCAGACATTGGATAAAGGTTTTTGGGGTCAGGCCTGGGGACATGAGTGAAAGTGGGGATTAAAAACACAGATTGGGGTTGTCCGAAGAGCTTCTCTTCTGTCTTTTCATGCAGATATTTCATGAATGTCACATGGGGTGACAAGGACTTCTCCTTTAATGAGGACGGCTACCTGATCAATCCTTCTTTGGCTGTGATATCACTTAGCAAACATCGGACTTGGGAAGAGGTGAGTTTAAGGAGGGAGGGGGCAATGAGCTGTAGGTTGGCAAGAAAGATAGCTGGAGTAAGGTTTAGAAAAGAAGTAATATGGAGCGAAGGTGACTTTCTGGAAAACAGGATATATGTGAATTTGGAGTTGCAGCAGGTTTCTGGAAGCTTCTGACTAGAAGCAGAGAGAGAGCTTTCCAGTCTCCATTCTGTCTCTGTCACATCTGATAGATAAGAGACCAAATAACTTTTAATTACATAAACAAGCTAAATCAAACCAGATTTTATAACCACTATGTGGCTTCTGGCCAATAGAAAAATGTAGTGGGCTAATGTATACAATCCCGACTCCAGCTTTGGAAATTGCTGAGGCTGGACATTGAGCCAAGCTAAATCACTGAATGATGCCAGAAGAAGACATGTTTTTGTCTACCCAATATTTTTACTTCTGCCCTAGTCAGGTGTTCCCAAAGGACATTAGTTAAAGGATGAGTGTGATTTTTAAGGGAAAGGAGTTGATGGGAAAATTCAAAACGTAATATTAGAAGCTGAATTTGGGAGCTCTTTCGAAATAAATGCCTTTCTGTTTTGATGGATTGAAACAATTCTTGTATGTTGAATGAATTTGGCACCGCTTTAGGGGTTTGGCAGGAAGACTATGAAGATTGGGGATGTATCTAATCTCTTCTCTTCGCCTTGGGAGGTAGGTGGGAAGGTGGGAGCGACGAATCCTGAGTATGTCACGATATAGGAAGTTCCTGCAACCCGTGGATGACAACAAGCACTTGATGGTGGCAACTTTGGAGGAAAGGCCCTTCGTAATTGTGGATGATATTGATCCTGCCACCAAGACTTGTATCCGTGACTCGGTGCCCTGCCATCACCCTCTCAACCACACTGACAGGTATTTTCAATATGCTTGAGAAGGTTCTCACAGGCATGGCAAATTATTCTTAGACTTTAATCCTGTTCTTCCTTAAAAATATTAGAGCACCTCATGAGGCTTATGTACCTAATTCCAGTTAGATTCCACTTTTTTCCTAAGAAACTGGAATAGTACATGTTATTTTCTTTTCCAGCTCCATATTTTTGTCAGTTTTATTTATATCCTACTTTATTATTTGTATAAATAATTCTAGGCAGTAAACATACTACTACTTCTCCTGTATTACTCACAACAACAACCCTATCAGTGGTGGGATTCAAAAACTTTTATTACCGATTCTGTGGGAATGGCTTGGTGGGCATGGCAGGGGAAGGTTACTGCAAAATCCCCATTTCCTCCCAATCATCTGGGACTCGGGAGGCAGAGAATAGATGGGGGGAGGAGCAGTCGGAGGTGGTATTTTCTGGTTCTCCAAATTACTCAAAATTTCTGCTACAGGTTCTCCAGAACTGGTCAGAACCTGCTGAATACCACCTTTGAACCCTATGAGATAGATTGGACTGATAGAGAGTGACTGGCCCAAAGTCGTCCACCAGCTTTCATGCTAAGGCGGGACTAGAACTCACAGTGTCCTGGTGATTGGTCTAAAGTTACTCAGGTGGCTTCCCCCAAGTCCCAGCCAATGAAATTTATGACTGGCTGAGGAATTGTGTTCCACACTAACCATAATGCCACACTGGTTCTTATTTACTTTCTGTGATGTTCCTAAATTACCTGCTGAGTTCCTTTTTCACTTTCCTTGTACTGCTCACAGCAATCAATTAAAGAAGAGATGTTGTAAGGGGTTTTGCATCGACATCTTGAAGCGTTTGGCGAAAACTCTGGGATTCACCTATGACCTCTACCTTGTCACCAATGGCAAACATGGGAAAAAAGTCAATGGCATGTGGAACGGCATGATTGGAGAGGTAATTGGAGAACTAGGGACTTTGATTTCCAAGCAAAATCTTAGAAATGCAGTTTATTCCTATTCCTGTTCTCAGCTCCTCCTGAACACTAGCCATTCTGTTCTTCTTGACTCCTTCTATATGGTAGCCCTCCACATCCATTTGTTTAGCATCCATTCAAACTTAAAATGGCACTGGAAAAGGTGAGTAATATTCCTATTTGGACTTACAACAATCACAGCATTCCTATGGTCACATGATTAAAATTGGGACGGTTGGCAACTGGCATGTTTACTGTGGCTGCAACATCCTGGGGTCGCGTGATCACCATTTGCGACCCCCTCAGCCAGCTTCCAACAAACAAAGTCAGTGGTGGAAGCTGGATTTACTCCACAACCGCATAATTCACTTTAACAATTTCAGTGATTTGCTTTACAAGCATGGCAAAAAATATGGTAAAAGTGGGTGTGACTCATTTAACCGCCTTGCATTAGCAACAGAAATTCAGATCGTAATCGGGGCCATAAGTCAAGGACTATCAATAGAGCTCTCTGGATACTTCATGAAAGAAAGGGACTGCCTTAACAGTTCATTGACAGTGATTGCTCATCTAATCTTCAGCACAGCTTATGGGAAAGCTGCCCCTGCCCCTTAAAACTATATATTCCTGCTTCTTAACATATTATGCCATAGACAGCATTAATCTTTTCATCTGGCTCACAAATCTCTGGATGTTTATTTGTCTCCTGCCTCAGAAAAACAAACCCACTCTCTCATCCTGTCTGTTTCTCCATCAGGTGTTTTACAAGCGAGCTGACATGGCAATTGGATCCCTGACCATCAATGCAGAAAGAGCTGAAGTCATAGATTTCTCTGTGCCCTTCGTCGAGACAGGCATCAGTGTCATGGTGTCCCGCAGCAATGGAACTGTTTCACCTTCTGCCTTCCTAGGTGAATGCTCAGGACGAAGTTTGAGCAAAGGAAAAAGCATTGTGGGGGGGGGGGAGTGATGGACAAAGAGATTGCAGGTCACTCTTACTCTGAAAGATTACATTAGAATTAGACGTAAGACCCTTAAACTCCTCCATAGTAACATTCACTGATTTTAGAAACAAGGACTTAAGTCAGTCTCAGGGAAAGCACCAGAAGGCAAGAAAAAGAACAGTGGATGGGAACTAATCAAGGAGAGAAGCCACCTGGAATTAACAGTGAGGACAACTGGAACAGCTTGCCTTCAGAAATTGGGGGTGCTTCATCACTGGAGGTTTTTAAGAAGAGACTGGACAGCCACCTATCACAAATGGTATAGTGTTTTCCTCTTGAGCAGGGGTTGGACTAGAAGACTCCAAGGTCCTTTCGCACTCTATTCTGATTGTTTGATTCATTAATTGATTGATTGATTAACAGAATAACAAAAGTTGGGACCTTGGAGGTCTTCTAGTCCAACTTCCTGATCAAACGGGAGACTCTATGCCATTTCAGACAAATGGTCATTCAGTCTCTTCTTAAAAACGTTCAATGTTAGAGCATCCACAACTTCTGGAGACCTGTCGCTCCACCGATTAATTGTTCTAACTAATGAGCTTGTGTCTTGAATTTTTTGTTACCCTCTTTAATTTGGTATCAGTAATCTGACTAGGAGGCTGGAAAATGAAGAGGTGATGTGAGCATCTTAATTCATGAAGGAAAGAGTTTTTTAAAAAAAAATAATTTGGGCACCGACCCCGTTTCCCTTTTCCACAGAGCCTTACAGCCCTGCTGTTTGGGTGATGATGTTCGTCATGTGCCTGACGGTCGTTGCAGTGACTGTCTTCATCTTCGAATATTTCAGCCCAGTGGGCTACAACCGCAGCCTCAGCAACAGCAAACGTGAGTATACCACGGTTTCAGGGAGAGACTGTGAAAATGTGGGCTCCCCCTAGAAGTCAAACAGTGCATGTTATTGGTTTTTAAGCTTTCCCAGATCAGGTTATATTTTGAAAGTTTTTTTCTCCTCCCATTCCCCCCTCTGCTTTCTAGGCACTGGAGGCTCCAAGTTCACCATTGGAAAATCAATCTGGTTGCTTTGGGCATTGGTGTTTAATAATTCTGTGCCTGTGGAGAACCCCAGAGGCACTACCAGCAAGATCATGGTGCTGATCTGGGCATTCTTTGCCGTCATCTTCCTTGCCAGCTACACAGCCAACCTGGCTGCCTTTATGATCCAGGAGGAGTACGTTGACACGGTGTCTGGGCTGAGTGACCAGAAGGTGAGAAGAAAGGGATGGGGGATTGGGTTCGTGAAGAAAAATATCTACTCATCTGCTTGGCCTTCAATCTCCAGACATATTTATAAACACAGTTGCACTGATTCCATTTCACCTACCTCATTTCTTGGCTTTTCCCCTCTCCTTCATCCTTAAAACTATTTTGTTTTTGTTAAAATAAAACAAGATACCAGTAACGAAACCTGACCTTCTGTCAGGTTAAATGGACTGAAAATTCTGTCATTTTTAAAACTGAGGTGAAAATGAATATTCCAGTGATTGAAAACTCCTTGTCTAGTCCATTGCTCTGATATTTGAGTAACTTAAACATCAGGGGAAAGTATGCTACTGGTACAGTTTAAGATTAAGAGTAGGGTTGCATCTTTGTTTTTCTTCACTGTCCATTTCCATCTAACATTTCCTGAAGAAACCAAGATTTTTTTTTTACATAGTCTGCTTACATTGTCTTAGATGTGAGCTCTGTGAATTGTCTTGCAAAGCAGCTTGCCTTCCAAGATAACCTTCCTTTGATTGAGCCATTCAGACTTTGCAAGGTTTATTTTAAATAGCGTTTAGAAGATGTACCTGGCTGTGATCAGGGCAGCTCGGGAAAAGGGAAAACTTGCTCTGTATTCTAAAGAGTGGCTCAGGAAATGTCAGTCAAAGAGAAGATGGAGTTATCTTGAATAAGACAGGAAGGCAGGGACCTCTATAGATTTTTGTTTCCCATTGCAAAATGCCAGAAAGTTATGAAGTCCATGATTGTTGGAGAACTATTTGTAAAGACCTTGATGATATTGAATTTCAGGCCTCCTCTGTAGAAAGCAAATGTGTTCATCATATTATAGTTTGAACTACCCAGCATGTGCTGCCTTGAATTCAGTAATCTTTCCTTTGGAGAATCAGAAGAAGCCCTGACGTCATGGCTATCTGAAAAACAGAAGAACTCCAGTGCTACATCTGCCAAAAATCCCAACATGGTTTTGCATTTTAAAAATATTATACCCTCCTGCCTGTCTCATGACAGCTCATCCTCAGCTGACAACCAGCTAAACAATGCAGTCATTTTACGGCATCTTGCTTAGCAATGGCAGTTTTAACACCTCCTGCTGTTGTTAAGCAAGTTCCATGCTATCATTAAGTGAGGAAGTCACATGGTCACTATTTGTGATCTCCTGCCAGCTTCCCCATTGACTTTGCTTGTAGGAAATTAACAAAGGAGTCTCAAGAGGCAACTAGGTGATCAATGTAGGGATGCTATAAGAGCTGAAACATCTAGGACCAATCATAAGTACCACTCATTCATTCGTTAGAATGGCCATTGAACAAGTGGTTGTTAAGTGCTTCTAATTTCAAACATAGAGATTATATTTTGCAGTGTGACAGACAGAGAGAGGTTACATGGATATAACAATAAAAATGTATTAAATTTGTATGCAGCTTGATTGGAATGACACTAATTGGCTCAAATAAACAAAGAAATTACTATAAAAGATTAAAAATGGCAAATCTGACAGTCTGAATGGAAGGAAGCAAGGGGTCTCGCTTCCCATGTTTGTTTATTAAAGTGTAAATTACCTAAAACAGGTGTATTTCTCAACCTGATACCTTCAAATGCTTTAGACTTCAACTCCCATCCTTCCTTCCAGCATGGGAACTGAATTCCAGTACCTTTGGAGCATACCAAGTTATGGGAGATGGACAAGCTGTTGGACTCATTTGTCACATTTAGAAGCTCCACAGGGCCCTCCACCGGAAGCCTTGTTGGTACCCAGCATGTATTGGATGTATTTATAAACCGGGACGTGGCTGATTATTGCCTGGTAATTAGCCCCTGACGAACAACCACAGCTGTGGGAAGGAGGGGGCCACGCAAATCGGACCAGCTGTGGCATGGCAGCCCGGCTCCCATTGAATCCCTTTCGTTAAGAGCTAACAAGCTGGGGTGTAATTAATAGGCATAATTAATGTCCAACAAGAAACGCAATCTCAGATAAATATTAAACAGCTCCGTTTAACAAATTCACACTGGGTGGGGAGGGAGGGAAAGTTGGTAATTGGAAGCAGAGAAAGGAAAGTTTTGCAAAATGTGCTTGAAATGGGCATTGCTGGATAGATTTCATACTCTGAATTAAGCCACATGGAGCTGGTGGCTTTCTGCCTTGGCAGGCGTATCTGGGACTGCAGATTTAGTGGTGTAAAATTCCACAGCGGAGGCCTGTTAATGTCTTACAACACTACAGCGAAGAATCTTTCAGTAGCAGCGAGAAACAAACAGATAAAATTAGAGATGCTAGCTTTGAAGGAGCAGCATTGCTCTTCTGGAGCTTGCTGTGGTGAAAGACTTCGGATTTTGTTCTTTTCTGGCCATGGGCAACCTGAGGTCTCGATCCTCTGGCCTCATTTCAAAGCCCCCAGCAAGCTTTCGGCTCAGCGTGTGATCAGGAGAAACATGCTCCTCTCCAGAAGTGAAAGGCAGAGGTGGCTGGGGCAATAAAACAAGGAAAAGCGGGAAATACTTGCTTTCCCCCTCCCTTTGGCTCCAGCCCCACTATTTGCTGGTCTGTGACCCTGCCACATGTGGCTCTTGCAGGATAAAACTTCTCTAGCATTACTGCCTGTTAAAACAGAAACCTTGCCTTTGTTTCTCTGGCAAAGCTGTGCAGTTCATAAAACCTAACAAGCCAGTTTATCTCCAAGGTATCACAAGCCTTTTCACTTTCTAAGTCACAAACATTTCTTCATCTCTTCATCCTGCCATCTTCTGCCACACATAGCCACCTCCATTGGTCCTTTCTCTATTCCTCTCCTCCCCCATGTTCCTTGATTATATCCACAGCTCTGTATAAAACTCCAGATAATCTGCGCCTGTCTCCTATATTCCTTTCCAGCTTTCTCTGGAGACGTTTCTCCCTCTAATGCAAGGGGGAGGAACCAGGCCCTTTTATGACTTGTGGACTTTGACTCCCAGAATTCCTGAGCCAGCATGGCTGATTCAGGAATTCTGGGTGTTGAAGTCCATAAGGGCCATGGTTCCCCACCTGTGTTCTAATGGCTCCTCAGCCATTTGTCACCAAGTAGCCTTTTTCCACAGATCCTCATTTAGCGGAATCAATCCCTTCAGAATGCGGAAGCTCTGACTTTCGTCCCTGAGTAGGGATGGGTTTTAAATGGCCGCTACTTATCTGTGCCATGCTGAAGAAGGGTCCGAGGGCCCCCCCAGAACAGCAGTCTGTTATAGGCAACAAATTTGATGAGGCTTGAAACGTGACAAGGATGTTTTTCTCTACGGCTTTCTGAAGTCCCCTCTTAGAAGAGAACAAACAGGCCGTCCCTGCCCTTGATCCTTCTAAATGTGTCCCGGTCTATTTCCGTATTGCTGATCTCTGTGCACCTCTCTGTCAACAATCATTTTTTGACAACTGCTGAATCCTTTTGTATCCAGAATTATCTTTCCATGGCGCCCATCTATTTCCGAGGCCATTGGAGACCTTGCTTCCACCCATAGACCCATCCCCTGCTTGCAGTTGGCTTTCTAAATTATTTGCTCTCCTTTTGCACAAAATACAAAGTTAACTGTTCACCCCAGAGTTTAAATATAGGTATATAAGTGTTTTGAGTTTAAATGCATGGAAGTATGCATCTTGAGTTTTTATATATATGCATGTATGTTGAGTTTAAATGTATGTATGTATAATATATAGAATGCATCTTGTTTAAATATATGTATGTTGAATTTAGATCTATGCATGTATATATAGTATGTTATCTTGTTTAAATGAATGTATTATGTATGTATGTATGTATGCATGTACAGTATGCAAATAGAACAATGTTAAAAAGTATATTTATGTCGTTACTTACCAAAACATCTAAATTATATTAAAGTAACCAAAATATCTTTACAATCCCCAAGGCATGTCACAACTTTTGCGTGCCTCTAATGTTTGGAAATTGAACGTTGAAAACTTTGGCACAGACTAGGCTATGCATGTATGCATGTATCTTGAGTTTAAATGCATGTATGTATCAAGTTTAAATGTATGCATGCATTGATGTTCAGTTTAAACGTATGCATATATTGTATATATGTATGTATCTTGAGTTTAAATGCATATATCCAGGTATGTATGGAGATTAGAGAGAGAATCAGCCTCGAAAAGCTTTACATAATTTTTTTGCAGCCTCAGTCTACCTCCAGAATTCCGGATCTCTCTAGGCGTTTCCGAGATACCACTTTCATAAGTGTTCTTAACTTGTAAGCACCCAAATTTAAACATGGTAATTGATTACAACCTGTAGGGTTAATAACCAGTTGTGCTGCATGAAACTGACATGGAGAGCCATTATGAAATACAAGGTAGATTCAAAAAATAATATTTAGAGCAGTGAAATGCAATCAACAGTGTTTACCTTTCTTTCTTCCCAACTGTTACTATGTGACTTGCAGTTGTACCTACAGTATACGGCTGTTTTTTTCTGCTAAGGGGATACAAAAGCTTATTTGGCCTCATGTTCTTGACTCTGAAAGCCTCTTTCCCAAAGCTGTTTTTAATTACAAAATGATATTGGAGCTCAGTTATACCTGCTTATATGTGACAAGTGAGGAGCCCCTGAGACTTATTCTCAGATATGCTTTCAAGAAATACTAACATCATTCACCTGGATTGCCAGAAAAATTAAAAGGAGAAATTCTATGACTATATCCTTGTCCTATATCCTATGTATATATATTATATATATTTAGGTGTGTGTGTGTGTATACATATACATACACATATACATACATACATACATATACATACATACATACATACACACACACACACACACACATATCACAGCTGGGTTGCTCTCAGTTTGGCCTGGATCGGGCGAACCGGTAGTAGAGGTGGCAGAAGGCTCCACCCACCCACCTGGATGCTTTTGCGCATGCGCAGAAGTGTCGCACGCAAGCGCATGTTCATGCCCGAGCAAACCAATAGTAAAAATATTGGAAACCCACCACTGATACACATATATAAATGTATGTAAATATGTAGTGTGTGTGTGTACAGACACAGATATATATTACAATTAAGATTAATAAAACTTAAAAAAAATCAGTCCAGCAATGAGGTGTCCTCCTAACCATCCATCTGCTAGCCAGCCAGCTCTAGATTTACCTGACCCTTGATACAGCAGGAATCTCCTGATATCTAGAAATCCTAATGTTGGATATGATTTCTATTGCAGCCAGGGCTAGCCAAACATCATGTATTTCACTCAGCCAAAACAGAAGCTTCCAATCCCCTCTGATAGGATTAGTCTCTTATTTCCTGAGTGTGTTTCCATTTCTAAGGATGGGCTGGCAATGCCTGTTTCATTTGTCTACTCTCCACAGTTTCAGAGACCCCAGCACCATTATCCTCCTTTGAGATTTGGCACAGTTCCTAATGGTAGCACCGAAAAAAATATTCGGAACAACTATGGAGAAATGCACGAATATATGGGGAAGTACAACCAGCGCAGTGTGGAAGATGCACTTCAAAATCTGCAGACAGGGTAAGTAAAGGGGGAATGGCAGGAAAGACCAGTATAACATTGGGAGAACAGAGTAGGGAAGGAAGACAAGATTGTTGTTGTCCCCCACCCCATGTCTTCATTTAGCCACCCCAATTTTAATACTGTCTCCTGTGATCTAGAGTAGATGGTCTTTGGTCACTCACATTCCAGCTGGTGTTGTCAGGTACAAAGAATCATATTGATCATGCCTTATTCATAAGAATCTAGTCAACTAATATTCAGTACTAAATTGCCGCTAGATAAGAGTTAATGGAATTCAAGGGGGGCTGGATTTAGACTTTGTAAGAACTTAAGGACTCCAGGCTAATTGTTCACTTGACTCCTCCTCCAGAGTCTGCTGCCTGTTCTTCTCCTACAGGTGTAATATCTGAAGATCTTACCAGCAAACACATTCCAGCAAGTTTTAGATGTTTCTCACATTCTCTCTACTAGCTGGCTGCATTTGGAGTGCAGTCCTCAAACCCTGAAAAAGGGGCCATGTTTCCCCCTGCCTATGCAACACACAGCTGCAAAAGGGATATTAATTGCTGTGGCGATTACAGTGTGACATTTGATTAAGCAAGTGTCATGGGTGGCTGTTGGATGTGGCTGGTGACATGACTGACTCTCACACCCATATTATTTTGTGACCTTGTAACACAAGTTAGTTAATTAGTTTTTATTAAATAAATCTTAGTCAAGTTAATAACGTGAGTTTTGGTCAATTAATCAGTGAGTCGGTTGAAAGACTCCTAAGAAAAAGGAGCTCTAAAGGTGTGTGTGTGTGTGTGTGTGTGTGTATACACACACATACAAATGCACACACATACATACATACATAATTTTCAGAACATACACAATTGGGATAGAGAAAACAACTTCTTAGATGTGTTCCTCCCATGCAAGAGGACTGTCTCTTCAAGGATTTGTACTGCTTAAAAACTAAAAATGTTAAAACCTGCTGGTTTATTTATTTATTAGATTTTTATCTTGGCTTTATTGCATTATAAGTAACTCAGGGTGGTGAATATATAAAGTGTCCCTTCCGCCTCCTATTTTCTCCACAACAACAACCCTGTGTGGCGAGTTGGGCTGAGACAGAGTGACTGCTTTAAAGGAACCTAGTTGGCTTTCATGCCTAAAGCGGGATTAGAATTTATAGTCTCCTGTTGATTGGCCTGAAATCACCCAGTCGACTTTCATGCCTAAAGTGGGACTAGAATTTATAATCTTCTAGTTTTTAGCCCTGTACCAGGAGTAGATTCCAGCAGTCACTATTGCCAGTTTGCTGGTGGATGCTTCACACACGCTTGATGCCTGCTGCACGCACATGCGCACTGTAATAAAAATTGTTCTGCGCAAGCGCAGAAGTAAAAAACAAGATAGTGACGCCTATAGCGCCACCGGGAGAACCAATTCGAGGGCATGGCAGGCCTGGGTCATTGGCGGTTCTAACAACCTAGGCCGTCAAACCACTACTGATTCAGCCAAACTGGTCCAAATCGGTAGGAACTCATCACTGCCCTGTACCTTCCATTTTTATCAATGGTAAATGGTTATTTGGGGACAATCAAAATATTCTGAATCCTTTCAGTTCAACCAGGTGTCTCCACAAATCTTCTCAATACAGTACATAGGAGTAAGTCTGTATTTATGGTTAAAGAAATAAATAACTTTCTTGAGTCTTGCCATGAATACATGTTAGTCCAACAGTGTCTACTATTAAACAGGCTTCCTACTGTTTGTCACAACAGCACTTTCTGTGAATATCTATGAATTCTGGCTGATTTCTTTTGGAAAGAAACTCAATAAAATGAGCCCCACCCCATGTGGTATCCATTGTTAAAGGAATTGTGCAGCATTATGCTTTTAGTAAAACTGCTACGGGGGGCTTATATCTGAATTTTTCATGTGTGAACATTTTGCAACTTAAATATTATTTTCCACAATACAAGAGGGATTATAGCTCAGTCAGCCTCCTTTGAGCAGACATATGGGTAGGGTCTTCATTGCTATTGGAACAGCTGTCAAGCCTGCTATCAATTTAAAAAGCCAACTGGCTGGGTTATTATAAATATATGATTTACTATTTAATCCTATATACCAAGATCACATTCATATATGCTGCTAATTAAGATAGATTAACAGCTACGACATGATTCTGTAGAAAATTATGAAACTCACTCACACACACACATTAGCTTTGCTAGTTTAGTTAAATGTGAATCTTATCTTGAAGTAAATTTGTTATATTTTATTATTTGTATTGCTTTTTAAATTCCTGCAGACTTTTTTTTGATTCTGTATGCAGTCCAGTAGTATTTCTACCCTCCACTCCCAACTTTAAATCCAGAGCTGGTTCCAGGCATGGTGATGTTGCTGTGATGTGCAAAAATATTGTAGAACAGTGTTTCTAACCTTAGCAATTTTAAGATGTGTGGACTTTAGTTCCTAGAATAAATTACTCTTCTCATTTCTGGTTGAGGTATTCTGGGAGTTGAACACATCTTAAAATGGCTAAGGTTGGTCTCTTTAGAAGGAAGCAGAACTGTAGGCATCTCTCCAGCCCGGCCCTCCAAAAAGTTAATTGTAATAAGAACATCAGGATATTATGCATATAAGGAATTAGAAGTGGCAATATTGTACAACTAAAATATTTAAGAGGAGATGAAAAGATAGAGGAGTATTTATATATATATACATCGGTGAATGAATCAAATTGGGGGAGTAATGAAGAACAAGGTGGAGGACAGGATTTATTCTAACAATAAATAACTTTTTTTTCGTATTGGCTTATGATTTGTATGCCTAGTGCTTTAAATCTCTGCCTGTGTTTTTTTTAGCTGTTTTACCGATATTAATCAGTCATAAAGAGCCAGTTTAGTGGTTAAGGCACCAGGCTAGAAAGTGGAAGGCCTGGACTTTTAGTTCCGCCTTAAACACGAAAGCCAGCTGGATAATTTTGGGCCAGTCACTCACTCTCAGCTGAACCACCTTATATTGTTATTGTGAGAAAAATAGGAGGGGGAAAGTGTGTTGCAGACATTTCATTACCCAACTATGTAACATTATCAGTGCTACGTGCATCATGAGAGCTACCCTGTTTCCCCAAAAATAAGACCTCCCTTGATAATAAGCCCAATCTGGCTTTTGAGCTCATGAACTAAAACAAGCCCTCTCCCCAAAATAATCCCCCCTCAAAAATATTGCAACACAGCAGCAGTCATGAGGTGACCGCGCTCGCCGTCTCCTGTACCTCAAAAATAATAAGACTGCCCTGAAAATAAGGCCAAGTGCTTGGAAACACGGTAACAGTGATGATGTTACCTAGATGGGTAATGATACATCTGTAAGGAAATAAGCAAGCTCTGAGAGCATCAAGAGGAGCACAGTTCAACCCTGAGCCATAAATATTATCTTCTATTAAAAACAGGGGTCCGATTTATTTGGAACAAATACTTAGATTGGTTTCAAAAGAGAGAAACTGAATGTGCAGTTCTTTATAGCCCATCTTCCCTGAGGTGCACCTTCTCAGTGTTCTTCTCAACTCATCTCAGTCTGCCTTTCCCCCCCTGTCTGCAGGAAACTGGATGCTTTTATTTATGATGCAGCTGTCCTCAACTATATGGCCCGCAAGGAAGAAGGTTGTAAGCTTGTCACCATTGGAAGTGGGAAGGTCTTTGCCACGACAGGCTATGGCATTGCCCTGCAAAAGGGATCCAAATGGAAACGGCCCATTGACCTGGCCCTGCTTCAGTTTCTCAGCGATGGTAAGACTTCATGGATCAGGTCCAGGTTCTAATGGAGGACACTGGAATTGAAGTGGAAAGTCTGGGTTAGAAGCAAATGATGAATTGCGAGGCGGAAAGAAATGTTGTAATGGACTTTTTGAAATATATCAGTACCTAAAAAGAAGTGTATTGTGCATTATTCTAGGTGCATACTCTCAAGTTAGTGTCACTGGGGAACTTTTTTTTAAATACAGCCCATTGGACTGTGAAGAGATCTAGAAAGAAAGAAAAAAACAAATTTGTTTCAGAGTACCTGTAAATTTGCATGTAGCATGCCAGGCGCTCCTTAAAGCAAGGTAGGCTTTTTCTTAAGATTGACAAATTCAGGAAGATGCACAACAACTTTAAGGTGTTCCTGAGAAGTGCTATAAGTGGGCCCCTGCATGCTCTAAATCAGGGGTGTCAAACTCGATTTCATTGTGGGTTGTACTTGACCTCAGAGGGCCATGGTGGGCATGGGCCTGGTGGGCATGGCCAGCTTGAGGTCACTCATGTCGGGGGACACCTGTAGTGGCCAAGTGCTAAAGGACTTCCCTGAGACCCTTCCTTATTCTTATTATAATCTTCCTTCCTTCCTTTTTTTTCTTTTTCCTTTCCTTTTCATTCTTCCTTCTTCTTCCTTCCCCTCTTTCCTTATTTTTTCTTCCTTGCTCTCTTCCCATCTTTCCTTCTTTTTCTTTGTCTTTCCCTTTCCCCTTTCCTGTCCCTTCTTGCATGCTCAAATGGAAAAGGGATTTTTTTTAGGATTTTAGGATTTTATTGGAAATTTATATGCCGCCCTTTTCCCTGAGGGG